GCACGCGCCTGTAATTCCGGCTACTCGGAAAGCTGAGGCGGAAGGATCGCCGGAGCCCGGCAGGCAAGGCTGCGGTGGCCGGGAGCGGCCACTGCGCTCCAGTCTGGGCGACAGAGTGAGACTCCAACTCAAAAAAAAAAAAAAAAAAGAAAGAAAAAAAAGAAGCCTGGACCGGCAGTCTTCTCCAAAAAGTTAGCGGTCAGGTTGTATTGAAGAAGACACAAACGCCATCCCAGCCGCCTTGAGCCTGCAGCCAGGCGTGTTGCTGCCCCGCCGCAGCAAGGCCACCAGGCGCTGGCAGTCCCGGGCAACGTCGCCCTCCCTCTCTTTCCGCTGCGGCTCGTGGCCCCGCTTCTGCCCCCGGCGGTCACCACTGGCCCTCTCTCCGGCGGCGTCCCCGCAAAGGTCACAAGGGTCACCACGCGGCCCCAGCTGAGGCTGAGGCTGTCGGAGAGCACGGCCTCTGCCATCCGAGCCATCAGGTCGCTGTACCCGGGGTAGCCAAGGAAGATGGAGAAGAAGGAAGAAGGAGGCGTGCAGCTGCCGCAACCTGGCGGCGGTGGAACGCAGCATGGCGGCCTTGGCCCGGGATGGCAGCGCCTGGAGGTTGCCGGGCGCTCAGGCGCAGTACTCCGGGGAGTCGGCCAGCAGCCTCTCGGTGCGCTCCTTCAGCCAGCTGGCGATGGCCCGGCCTCCAATTATCAAGCTTTTTTTTTTTTTTTGCAGAAAGTTCGAAACCAGGATTTATTGAGAAGACAGAAAAGCTTCCCACAGTGGGAGGGGAGGACCCAAAGGGGTTGCTCCCAATTATCAAACTTTTAATTAGATAATTAATATTCAAATGTACTGTATGACTTCATTTCTGAGGTTTTGAAGACTTCTGAGCTTTTGACCTTGCATACTGTTGCATTTCAGGACGACGTATGACTTGCTGAGAACTTCAAGCTAACGAGGAATGTAGGAATATAGTGTTTTATATCCACTATGGAGATTTAAATACTTGGTCATGCTTTTTATATTGTGCAGCATCTTCTTACCTTCTTTGCATTTTATAAATGATATTAATATATTCTCAACTGTACATGGTGTTTTATTTAGATGACACTTTAGTCTTTCTGTAGATTCAGGCTTCCAGTGTAGGAGGATAATGCTTTGTGCCAAAATAGTGATTTGCAAGTTTAACAGTCAGTAACAAATGCTTTGATTCTGAATGACTTCATCTTCCCTCTTGTGGTGTGGATGAGACCTCCCACACAGGTGAGAGCAAGAATCTGTA